TCGAGTGGGCCATTCATCACACACACACACACACACACACACACACACACACACACACACACAATGGGACTCTAATGCAACAGTGGAATGCCTTAAATCTTTTGAAAAATCCATGACCCGGACTGGTTATAACATACTTTTTGTGTCTGGTTGCTTGTTTTTGTTTTGTTGGGAAAATGGGGAATAATGAGTGCAAGTCTAGAAAATTTAATAGGCAGAGAGATGCAACTGTACATGCAGGAGTCATTAAGGATTTATTTGAAATGGCAAATATTAAAGTCATTTATAAAGCGTGCATATCAGCAAGCAGGCTTAAGTGTATAGACCTATCACTGGTTACTATACTGAAAATAATTATATATGTGCACACACACACACACACACACACACACACACACACACACACACACACACACACTATGGCCTGTTTGTAGTGTGATTTTAAAGTTTGCAGACAAATGGTCTTTTTGCGCCACCTAATGTTCATCGTGAATATTACTCTTTACCTGGTCAACTGAAAAAAAAAAAGTCAAATTTTTTACTGTGCCTCATGAAACTCATCAAAGTTTTAATAATTTCTGTGTTGTTTATTCATAGTTTTAAAAAATATGTTTCATGATTTTAAAGCATTAATAGCATTATTTTATTTTATTTTATAAGTACACATAAAACAGTAAAGAGGTGAAAATAATATTGTGTATTATTAAATATTTAATATTAAAACGTCAGATCATTGAAGTTCGCACCCAAGACCAGCAGATGGCGAAAGAGCTCATTCATTTTCCGTGCTGGGTGGAACGCTGCTGTAAAAGCACATATATAGAATAAAAGTGCCCCTATAAATTACAATAAACAATATTAATAATATATTTAAATCTGTAAAGTGTGAATGAACAAATGTAGTTACAAATGAACAAAATAACAAAAAAATTAGTCTAGAAGAAACAACCTTTCTTTTATTGAAGAAATACTTTTATTGAGAAAGAAATTAGTACAAACCCTGTACTAAAGAGAATCTAGTTATTTAATCTACAGTAGAATATCAATGTAATAAAATAATGCCTTACATTCAAAGCAGTACACATCTTGACCGAGATGTGATACTAGCCAACTAGTCAAGTAATTTTATAGTAATCAGGGAAAAAAACCTGCTCTATGTGTTATCAAAACTGAGTAGGTGTACAGAGACCATTCACAAAACAACAGAAAACAGATGGAGAACATGGAGAAAATTATATAATAAAAGATCATATCTTAAAATAAAAATATAAAATATAAATCTTTCAGTGAAATGTGCAAATTGGTTTATCCAACACCAACATACTTTCTTCTACTCTATCAGCATTTAATAATACTTACAACTCAAAAGTAGAGGCAGTGCAGCAAAAAGCTGATAAAAATGTTTTTATTGGCATTTATCTGACGCCATGGCACACACTAAGGCATAAAATATGTGTTTCATATTTGCGATCTTGCAGTCTTCCGTCTGATATAGTGTTTGTGAGATGTGAGATGCAGTGGTGGAGTATTCTAGCGTGGCAGCAGCAGCAGCAGCAGCAGCAGCAGCAGGCAGCTGTAGATCAGAGCGGCTCGTACAGCACCGGCCGAGCTCCTCATCATACACTCCACACGAGACCACGAGCCGTTGTTGGGCAGGGGTTCGATCCCCAGCATCTTGCACAAAACATTATACACATCTACTGTTCGGATGGGACCAGCGCGGAAGTTCATCTTGAAGTCTGGAGAGAACAAAACATTAAAAAATCAACAACAAAAAAACAAAACAAAAAAAATATATATATATATTCACACACCATTCTCCAAATGTTTGGGGTCAGTTTATGCTCACCAAGGCTGCATTTATTTGATCAGAAATACAGTAAAAACAGTAATGTTGTGAAATATTATTAGAACTGATTTTTATTTGAGTATAATTTAAAATCTAATTTATTCCTCTAATTTATTATTTTCAGCATCATTACTTCAGTCTTCAGTGTCACATGATCCTTCAGAAATTATTCTAGGATGCTGATTTGCTGCTCAAGAAACAGTTCTGATTATTATCAGTGTTGAAAACAGTTGTGCTGCTTCATATTTTTGTGGAAAATGAGATAAGTTTTTTTTTCAGGATTCTTTGTTAAATAGAAAAACATGTTTTAAAATAGAAATCTTTTGCAACATTATAAATGTCTGTACTGTCACGTTTGATCAATTTAATGCACCCTTGCTGAATAAAATAAAAAAAAATACTTACTGAAACCAAACATTTGAATATTAGTGTCTGTTTTTTGTTCATATTATTCATATTTTATATATATATATATATATACATACATATATATATATATATATATACATACATATATATATATATATATA